CCCTGACGGAAAAAAAAAAACCCGAAAAAGTACAGCCCGCTAACTCAGCCCGCTAACAGCCCGCAACGTTAAACGGATGGGCTATTTTTTTTATGTCCAGCCCGTCCCAACCCGCTCATTAAACACCCATAACTCCAGCACCTATATAGCCTGTAGAGAGGAGTGAGAATGTTATCCAATACAACAATATCTTATTTTACTTTTTCAATTAGCTTGTTTCTTCTTCGTTTCCTTCTTAGCTAATTCAGTCAATTACAACTCGTATCAGACATTTACCTTTTGTAATTTACGATCACGAGAAGTAAATATTCGTTCAACTGATCGCCACATAAAGCTATTAGACATATTAAAGTTAGATCTTGCAAATTGATAATTTTAGTGTGGTTAATTCATGTGCGGTGATCTGAAGGGTATGTGTCGTATTGGAATGGTGATGTTGTCAATCACATCCGTCACCTCTTAACTAGGACCTGGGTAGTCTTTATCATGGGCGGATCTATGTAGAAGGTTTGGGGTGGTACGCCACCCGGACGCTCGGGTAAAATTTTGAGCGTGTATATATATATATATATTTTTTTTTTGGTATTTTACAAACAGGTCGTTATATATTATATGGATGGCACCCAGACTTGTATGTTGGCTCTAGGTGCCATGGTTGAAAGCCAACATTCCATATTCTACATTCAGGATAATCATATTGTTATTCCTTTTTCTTTCTTTACTTTCTGTTCTTTTTCTTAGTTTCTTGTATTTCTTCATCTTTTGATTTCCTTTCTTAGTACAACCACTTTGTTATTTATTCAATAATATATTTGCTTCTTTTTCTTTGCATAGATCTTCAATATTTTATTTGAATGTGATTTTAATATTTTCTCTTTTTATCCATATAATTTTATTATTTCTATGATTTCAAAAATCTTTTATAATGATGGCATCAATAGACATATAAGGAGTGCATTTGATAATTTAAAATTTTATTTGAATTTTGTGCATCTAATTGCATCATTCCATAGAGCCAGAGAATTAGATTGAATTGGACAAAATTTATTCGGTTTAATGATCATACATTTATTTATGTACCAAAAATCTTGTAAATCGAACAGAATTAATTCAAAATAGATCGAGCCAAATCGAAGTGAACCGAATTAGTTCAAAATGGATCAAACCAACAAAATGTACACCCTAATTCAATCTCTTTTCCTAATGGTAGGTTTGCATTAAAAAGTGGCACCCGTAGAAATCAAATCATGGATCCTCCTCTGATCTTTATTGCACATATCTATAGAGAGGCTAATTTCGGTAGCTGATGTTTTAACCAATTTGGCCTTTTTTCAAGAGTCTAGTATTGAACGGCGTGTGCTTGTGCCTTCTAGCATTTCTTTGTGTATTACGGGAGATGTTGAAATTTGATTCCCTTACTTGATTTCTAGCTAGTTTTGTTGCTTTGTTTCTCATTCGAAAGGAAAAAAAAAAAAAAAAAAAAAATTAGACCATAGATGAGCTAGTCAAAATAGCTGGTATAAGAAATTACACTATTTTTTTCTTTTTTTCTATTTTGTGATCAAGGATCAAATTTGCCTATGTATTATTCAAAATTGAGTGACTTTGTCAATCGTTAAATTTTTTTGTTAAATATTATCCTTCCGTTAAGAGAAGTGTCATTTTTTCCTTGATATATAACAGACCTCCAATCTTAGAGTGATTCTAAATCATAGTCAATAAAGCCAAAGGGTACATTGGAATATTTTTCCTTGAAGAATTTGAACATAGTTTGTTTTTTATAGTTTTCTTAAAAAAAAAATGAAAATTTTGTTTGTTAATGGAATTTGATCAGTTTATGAAAAAAAATTAAAGAAAATCTTCAAGTCCAAAAACAGGTTTGGGCTAGTTTTTGGGTGAAAATCTTTGTAGAAATAACACCAGGTACTAATCTTGAAATCGTATCCCTGAGAATAGTTATCTGTGCATTTGTCCCAAGAAATATTTTTCTTCCACTTACAAAACTTTAACTTTAAAAAAAAATGCATGTTTAAACACAACTTTAACTTCCAAATTTTATTTTTCAACACAACTTTTAATTTATTTTTTTTTAAGTTTCAACCAAATCTATGTCCAATAGCTAGCGAAATCCATCCATTTCATTTTGTAGCTGAATTAATGGCAAGAAAAAAATACAAAGGATTTGCTAAAAGAAAAAATATAAATGGGATGAAAAAGTGTAACAGAGGACAAAAGTGAGTAATTTCGAATAGTACTAGAATAATTTTGGTCCTTTTCTTTTCAATAAACTTCAAGCTTGAGAGGTTTCTTATCCAACAAAGAATAAAAGAGAAAGAGAGAAAAGAAGAAGCCAATCTGCTTTACCAAAATATAACCCTATAATTTGGTGTGTAATTAACTGATCTAATGCGTTAGCAAAGGAGAGAAAGGTGGTCGATAATGGATAACCAGAAAGGGAATATTAGGTGAATTTGATTGGTTGTCGTCTCCGACTCCCTTCAACCAAATGCAATATATTATGGTTATTTGGTTGACCAAATCAACTTAAATTCTCATGCTTTTTAAATATTTTAATTTAAAAAATTCCTAGGTATTATGATACAAAAGATCAAGAAAAAGAAAAAAAAAAGATCAAGACAAGGCCTATTCATGCATATTATTATCTAATCGATCATTTAATCAAGAACTTTGCCATTTGTCTCCCATGAATCATTTGATTAAGAATTAAACCTCATTTCTTTTTATTCTTCTTTTCATATTTTCTGTCTAGAAGTGGACTTAGTAACATTGATCAACTCTCTATAGGCTAAAAAATTGCTAAGTTATCTCATACTAAGATAAGGAGTCATAATATATTAATCATTTGGGATGCATTAAAAAAAGAGTTTAATTATATGTGCTAAGTGTGTAAAAGAAATTTAACATTTCAGATCATCTAAACAATAGCTACAAGTAACTCTCCATATTCAGCGTGGAACTAATTATCTAGAAAATAGTAGAGACAACTTGCAATAAGTTAAAATTTTATTAATAGTATAAAAATTAGTTTACGCTATCAGTGTAAATAAGTTATATCTTTTGAAAAATGAGTTAATATTTGACAACTTGCAATAATATAGATTAAATTAAAAATTGATTACGCTATCAGGATACAAAAATTAAATCCTTTAAAAAATGAGTTAACGTTTGAGAATTAAATAGCTGAATAAAGACCGAATCAAACATCATTACTTGTAAAGCACAAGTTCTACTTCACTAGATCAAAAAAGGTAAAAATATTAATATTTATTATAATCCAAACTAAAAAGCTACCCACTCCATCTAGTTGCATTGAACACTATATATAAAAATGTACACCATCTCAAATATTTCATCAAAACAAAATCGATTCTTCTTACATATATTAAACTTTCTTCTATATAACAAGTCTTTAGAACTTGACTCACTTTACAGAATACTATAGCTAAAATTTTGGCAAGAAATGGCTAAAGCAGTGAGCTTTTTCATGGTCATATCTCTTATTGCTTTTGCACCAATATGTTTCTGTAGCAAGAGCAATTATTATGGTTACTTATATCCACAATTTTACGACTGGTCATGCCCACAAGCTAAAGAAATAGTCAAGTCTGTTGTTGCTAAAGCCGTAGCCAGAGAAGCCCGAATGGCTGCCTCTTTGCTCAGGCTCCATTTCCACGATTGTTTTGTTAAGGTACGTATATTCATATATTCCTGAGACTAAAGATTAATGACTTTTGGTGCTTATTGTAAGCATGTGAATCCATGAAGCTAACATTTGAACCGGATTTAAGCTATGTTGCGCGGACTTTCCAAAATATTGTTAGTATCCATGTCAATCCTCCAAAAATACACTACTTTTGAAGGATCTGACACGCGTCCGATGACATTTTCGGAGAGTCCGAGCAACATAGGATTTAAGTAGAATTGAGTTCATGTAGAATATTATTAAGTAGCAACCACGTAAGAGTTCTTTTTTTAATAACGGTGATATCCATGTCAACTTGCGCGCACCTCGTCTATTCAATTGGTAAACTTGATGAATTCAATATTTAAAGTTCTTAGTATTGAACTTGCTATAGTACTTTTGAAATAATTAGTTCTGAATTTAATATTTGTTGATATTTTAGTGATTGTACACATTTACATCTATGTTCCATGTCCAAAATATTGGACTCGATGGAAGCACATAGTCTTGGTAACTTTACTACTCACCAAGACTTAAACAGACAAAAAAATATCAATTAACTTTTTTAGTCTCTATTGGTTTTTGAATCCTGATTTATGATTGTTTAATTTTCACCTAACTCATTGACCACTAGGCTATAACCTTTGGGCGCGGGAATAGTTAAGACAATAATTTGTGCGTTGGCGCGGTGTATCTAAAATAAAGCTAATTTATTTTGCTATTTCATACTATGATCATGTAGGGGTGTGATGCATCACTATTACTGGACAGCAGTGGAACCCTAGTAAGTGAAAAAATATCAAACACCAACAGGAATTCAGCTCGTGGATTTGAAGTAATTGATGAGATTAAATCTGCACTTGAAAAAGAGTGCCCTCAAACCGTCTCTTGTGCTGATATCTTGGCACTTGCTGCAAGGGATTCTACAGTTTTAGTAAGTACAATACTCCACTATTGTCTAGGGTTTAATTAAATCATATACTAATATTGATATATTGCAAAAATACGTATACTGTCAGTGTAGTTAAACCTTATTTATAGGTCAGCTATCGTTTTTATAAGATTACCATTTAGCAATATTGTCATAGAGATTTATCGATAATTACCTTACAAATTACTTGATGCATAAATATTTTTTATATTATCAATGCATACAACTTAAATTTATTTATTTATTATTTATACAGGTTGGCGGACCAAATTGGGAGGTTCCATTGGGAAGAAGAGACTCAAGAGATGCTAGTTTAAGTGGCTCCAACAATAACATTCCTGCTCCAAACAACACATTTAATACCATTCTTACAAAATTCAAGCTAAAGGGACTTGATCTTGTTGACCTTGTTGCTTTATCCGGTAAAAAGACATTGCTTAACTTTTAACTAGATTATCTATTAACATAGAGGTAGCAAATGGGCAGGTTGGATCAAATTTGGACTAGTCAAAACGGTTCAAATTATTAAAGAGGTCATGACGGATTATAACACAACCTGCCCAACTTTATATTGCTTTTAGGAGGGAAAAAAGTAAAAATTAATGTATTTTTAAATAATTAGCTTAGTTTCTTCCAAATTTACATAATCCTCGATTTTCCAATTCTCATGTTGTATGTTTCATTTCAAATTGCATTTTGAAATGTTTGACCTAATAGTTTGATGAAACATTTAGAGTTCAACATGTCCGATCAACTCAACAAACGAGTCATAACCTAACCAATTTTTAAACTTAAAATCGATTGATTTTGCTACCTCTAAGTATCACATGAAGTTAATACTAGAAGAAATTTTTCTACAGGGAGCCACACAATTGGAAATGCAAGATGTACCAGCTTTAGGCAAAGGCTATACAATCAATCAGGCAACAATTTACCAGACTATACATTGGATCAATCATATGCTGCTCAATTGCGGACTAGGTGCCCAAAATCTGGTGGTGACCAAAACTTATTTGTAATGGACTTTGTCTCCCCTACAAAATTTGATAACAACTATTTCAAGAATTTGTTGGCTTCAAGAGGCTTGTTTAATTCAGATCAAGTTCTTGTGACCAAAAATCAGGCAACATTAGAATTGGTGAAATTATATGCAGAAAACAATGAGATTTTCTTCGAGCAGTTCGCGAAGTCTATAGTTAAGATGGGAAATATCTCACCTTTAACTGGATACAGGGGCGAGATTCGGAAGAATTGCAGGATGATGAACTATTAAATATCACAACATTCAACATCAGACTTGCTGTATTATTATGCTTTTCTTTTAACATTATTTCCAGATGTTCCTTTCTGTTTAGCTTGGATTGTCCTTTTAATGAATGGTTTCATATTTGTTTGAAACACTCACTATCTTTGCAATTTGTGAATAACATCAATTTTATCATTTATCAGCCATCACACTTCATCTTAATTATTGGATAAAAGTGAATCAAGACATGGAAAAGAGACTGCTGAAGATCATATTTAATATAGTTAGATGGACATAATAACTAGATAAGGTCAATAACAAAAAATAAGAAGGGAATAAATGAGGCAAACTTATTCCTCAGTACGTAAGAAAAACAACCAGAAACAATACATTATTCTGAGTGCTAACTTATTGCTGTTACCAGAAGGATTCTTGGTGAGGTATAATTGAGACTGCAGTATATGCAGTATAAGTCAGTTAGGTTCACTTACAACTAATGGACAGGAAAGGCCAATTTTGCACACATGTACATGTGCTGGCATTGATCCTGGATATTCAGAAAATGTTCTTCTATAGCATTTGATATCAAGTATGTAATCGAGTTATAATGTTGCCGTAAGTGTCGAATTACACTTGTTACACCTTATCATCATGGAACCACCACCTGGTTTCCTTTGGTGATCTGCCATTTCTACAGTTCTTTACATACCGATCATTATCGTCAGGGAGTTGCTGCACGAGTAATTGGAATGTTAAACTAGCAAGAGAAGCTCAAAGAAAGAATTCTGTGGATTACACAGTGTTTAAGTCTTTCAGAGAACAAAATATAAACAGGATCTGAATACTTGGTAAGGATAAGAGACCATTAAAAGAAGCTCAATTTGATTTAACAGACGCAACAAAAGGTACCTTCGCAGTTGAACTTGACAGCATGGAGAGAAGGCTAATGCATATAGAACTAACAGTCATGGCAGGCGACCACGAGTCATACAAAATATCTGCAAGATAGAAAGTAGTTATCAACTGCTGCTTTTACAGACACAACTGTAACTTAGTCCCAAACAAGGTGCGGTAGAATCCTCACTTGACCATGATTCTCTATTTAAATTCATCTCAGCCTCTTAGGCCAACATTATGCAGAATAAAAAGTACTAGAAGTTCCTACTACTAGTATAAGAATCTCTGATACGGCTAAAAGACTCCTAGAAAACATAGGACATAAAGTAAACAAACTAACGTGACTAAAATATATTCCCAACTAATTGATATCGCCTATGTAGATCTTTTTCTTTCATTATCCCTATCTTTCTGTAGATGATGCTTTTTGCAAAGGAAACACCTAGTCAACTGACCACGGCCTTTCTACTTTTACTTCCACAAATTAAAGAAAACAAGACTGCTATATAAAGGCATGAAACAAGATAACTCGAAAGATGGCATTCCTCTTCTATGTCTTATGAATCCAGAGGTCATGTATTGATAAAGTAGTCTGCTGACAACACCTGTGATGAGCCCAGTGTATCTCTCGCATCATCCAAAAATGAGGAAGCAAGTAAGAACTGGATCAAACATGACCCAGAAGACAATTAAACGACTCGATAGTACATTTCATTGCACCCCAACACCAACCCTGACTCTATCCCGTCAATGCTCATAAAACCTTCCAGATCTCGAATTCAATTTCTTAAATAATAATTTCATCCGCAGAACACCAGTAATCTTGAACTAATTGATTCATTTCAGTAAGCTCTCATAATAAATTCTGAAACCTAATTTGGTGCCATGTGATAATAAAAAATGCTGGAATTGGCTCACAAACCACTTAAAACAAAGTCCATCTGTAAAAGAAATATTTGGGACTGCGCTGAACCTAAGTTGTAGGATCAATATTAACTCTAATTTGCTACTTAGCATTATTAGAAATGAAAATTAGTAGAATAAGGTCTTTAAGAGATATTGTAGGATCTTAGTTAATAAAATAATATGTTGTAGGGAAGTTATTTGGGAGGCTGCATAATGCTAACATAACAAAATTCAGATATGGGAAGAATGAGTGAAGTAAATTTAGTTGTTTTCATCGGGATTCTGTTCCAGCCAAATGAGAAGTTAAAAGAGGACCAACTTTTGCCAGTCCTAAATGGAATATGTTTGTGACAGTTGGATAGAAAAAATTATCCTGGTCTTTTCTAATTTACAGAAACCGTTTGTCACAAATGACATTAGTCAGCTCCCAAATAGATTAAGAAGGCTATCAGTACTTCGTATGACTCTTCCAAGATACAATGATACAAGAAAGTAAAAGTAGATACATACCCCTACACAGTATCCTTGTATTATAGTCCGAAGGAAACAGTGACAAAATTTAACAACTCATTTCTCTCCATCAATCTGTAAATCTTATGCCATGCTTGATGCCAACAGTTATCTCTAAGTTTCACACACTTATTCAATTAACTTTTAACAATTGAAAGATGTATCTTACGGAAACTTATCATGTTGCTATACAACAACAACAACAACAACAACAACAACAACATACCCAGTATTAGACCCTCGGCTCAGGAAAGCATAAGTACCACATTAATGAAAATATAGACAAGAAGCGACAGTACCAAAAAGCCATATAAAAGCAGAATAAAAACAACAAGATAGTAAGGTGATCAACAATGAAAGAAAACAACGGTTAGTCATAAAAAACTACTACCAACAGAAAGCGAGACTGCGTGCCAATACTACTGTTGCTATATCACTAAATATCTTATGCCTAACGGTAACTACAATAGCGCCTTCGAAATTTGCACAGGAATGAATAGACTTACAAACCACAGCAAAAATGTTCCTTTCACAGGCCAAACAATAAGCTGGTCACTCATCTTGGAATGCAATTTAACCCAAGAGAAAACAAGGAAGGTGGGGGACAAACTAGCAGTCACATGGTAAATAAGAATTAACTAAAGTATTCTTTTAAACATCATTCCCACCCATTATTTCTGGTCTAATTGGTAGGCGTTTGGTTTTAATCTTAAAGGGTATACATCACAGTGACAACAACTTGAATAGCTGTCTTAGTATGAATATTTTTGTCTTTTTTAAATATACAGTACTAAAACATTATACAAGGATACAGACCTAGCTTTAAATTAATACTTGAATAGCTATCTTAGTATGAATATTGTTGTCTTTTTTAAATATACAGTACTAAAACATTATACAAGGATACAGACCTAGCTTTAAATTAATACTTGAATAGCTATCTTAGTATGAATATTGTTGTCTTTTTTAAATATACAGTACTTAAACATCATACAAAGATACAGACCTAGCGTTAAGTTAATACAGACCGCCCCAAGTTTATTGATCAAAGAATAAATTATAGCTGTCTTTCTCTCAACATGGTTATAGGGAAAAAAAGGCTACATGAGATAAAGATCACAGCTAACTTTAGATGCTAATCAGAAGATAAAAAAGAAAGAAGAAAATCAAGCTTATTCATGAACTTATAAGTGAACTTTGTCCTGTTGGTGGAGGCATGACTATAACATTGTTCCAAGGATAAAGCTCCTGGAGAACAACTTCCATGAGACAGGGAGTGATTAAAGGCAAAATCAAAGATTTCAACTAAATTATGCCTCCTAAAAGATAAGCACCAAGTGTATGGTGTAGCAGTTAATGATACTAGGTGATTTCTTCTCATATGTTTAAACCTTGGTGGTAAAGTCACTTGGTACCTATGTTGGTGGAAGACAGCAGGTACCTGATGAAATATTCAAGGCGTACACAAGTTGGGTCCGACACCACCATTATCCCAAAAAAAGGTGGAAAGTGGTAAGGTACATTTATTAAATTAAAGAGAACCTTATTTTGGAATATGAGAGGGATAGCTGCTACTAAGAGTTGGTGTTTTGTATTCGCCTTCTTAAGACAGATAACTCTAGAAAGTTAAAGAGATTAATAAGGCAAAGACGTAGAGCAAAAACCAATATTATGCCTGAAAAGAAACTATAGACTTCTCTGCAATTCTTAGTTGCTTATTCTACTTGGGCTAAGAGTCCTCTCAAAAAGTAAATAGGTCCATGTTTTTATTATCCGTCAAACATCATTAACTATTACTCTATAGCTGGAAATGAATCAACAAATATTACTGGGACATAAATGGGGAAGCGAACTCAATAACAAAAGCACCCAACCTAAGTAAAAACGCTGATTGACATTGCGCAACAATCTACCATTCGTACCAATATCCGCCAAGTTATTTTAGAGCATTGAGAAACCTATAATTCTTGGTGTCTATTCTTTAAGTTTCAACAGTCATATCAAGAATCATTCACTATATGATTGCCAAGGATTTTCATTAGAAGCTTCATCTCATGCATTCCAAATTAAGCCCTTAGGCTCGACCAGTGACCAAATCAATAAATTTCTTGGTGATAAGAAATAGAGGAGACTTGAGCCGAGTGAATAAATACCTAAACAAATGTGCCCGTTGCTATAGATATGAGGGTGCATGGGAGCTGGAGGCACAAATATCACCTGCATCAATGTAGTCGGCCATAATTAGTAGGATAGGAGTTCCAATCAAGCACATTAACAAGAAACAACATCTTTCATCCAATATGAGAATATCACTGAAATGTGTCGACCATTAAATATGCACCTGGGGAGCTTCCATAGGATAATGTTCTGGGAAATCAACTTGAAGCTGATAAATTTCATTAGCATACAGCGTTCCAGGAGCACCATTCACATCGATCACCCACCTTCTCACAAAGAACCGACATCAATCAAAAGTTATTGCAACCAAACGCCCTCATCTTCTAATAATAAAATTAAGAGCGAAACTTGGTATCTTTGGTATGATATAAAATTTTGTCCTTGATGAAATTAATGTTCCATTATTTTGTTAACCTGAATTGCAGAAAATGTTACTGATGAAGGAACTCGTTTTTTTGGTGATTCTCCACCAAAAAGGGAAAATAAATTTCGTCCCTTGTGGGTGAAAGTCATCTACTTTTAACAAATATCTCAACTGTTAATTCGACCAGCACAAATTCTTTGTTATTAATCTTTCATACTCAAAAATATCACCAAAACACTATGGGGTCTTTTTGTCTAGAAACAAGTTATGCAGGAATTATAATACATGGACTAGTAATACAGGAATGGTAATGCAGTATTTATTTTTTATCAGGCATTTGGTTCTTTATACTTAAAAAGGGACATATAGGGTGTTGATAATGGGTTAAAGGAAACGAACTAGGGCAATTTTGTGTTTGAGTTTTTAATCCATGTATTTTTATCTCTTGCTATATTAGGCAGTGGTGGAGCCACCTTAGTCTAAGGGGTGTCAATCGACCCCACTTGCGAGAATTCACTGTGTTTGTTGTTGTTGTATATACTATCAGNATATATATATAACAAATATTAGATCTGAACCCATAATTTTAACAGTATAATAGCTTTAATGTTAGAATCTAAAATGTTGAACCCACTAAGTTTAAATTCGGGATCCGCCTTAATACTATATGTTGAATCCCCTTAGCTTCTTCTTTACTTGTTTATATTTTGATACCTATGACGACCTGGCCGGTCGTCTTGAGAGTTATAACCCCGATCCCATATTAACTGTTTTCCCCGTATCCTTTTCTGCTATTGTGACTTGTCGGGAGGTTTCGTTTTGATTTTTGGAGTGTTTTGGGACACTTAGTCCCTAAACGGAAGCTTAAGTCTTAGGATTTGAACCGCAGTCGGAACTGTGAGAAGACGACTCCGGAATGGAGTTTCGTCGGTTCCGTTAGCTCCGTTAGGTGATTTTGGACTTAGGGACGTGTCCGGATTGTGTTTTGGAGGTCTGTAGCTCATTTAGGCTTGAAATGGCAAAAGTCGAAGTTTTGGAGATTTTGGCCGATAGTGAAATTTCTTATGTCGGGATCGGATCCCAATTTCGGAAGTTGGGGTATGTCGGTTGGGTTGAATATGACCTGTGTGCAAAATTTGGGGTCAATCGGACGTGGTTTGGTTGGTTTCGGCATCGGTTGTCGAATTTGGAAATTTCAAGCTCTTTAAGTTTGAATCGGAGGATTGATAAGTGATTTTAGCGTTGTTTGATGTGGTTTGAGGGCTCGACTAAGTCCGTATGGTGTTTTATGACTGGTTGGTATGTTTGGTTGAGGTCCCGGGGGCCTCGAGTGTGTTTCGAATGCTTAACGGATTGAGTTTGGGACTTATGCAATTGCTGAAGCTGCTGCACC